TGTTCTGAATGCTATTAAGGAAGCAAGATGATCAGTTTTCAACATTTTAACGAGAAATGTGACATTGTGCAATGGGGAGCCATGAACACAGCGCAGAAACTCAATTGCTTGACCACAACCACTCAGTGCAACACAGTAGAGATGCAATGGGCTATTCACCCACCCCCAGCGCATCTGACTGCATAACAGCCGCCAACAGACAGGCCCCAAGATGAAAGGAAAAAAAAAAGACCTCTATTTGCAGAATAGACAAGCCTGCACTGTCAGCCTACTGCGTTACTGACACGATGGGTGGCAGAGAGATTCCTCCACCTTTGCTTCTCTTGACCAGCTACAAAGCCTCTGAGCACTGACACCACAGTACTGATCAGGCAGTCACACACGTGACATTGCCAGTGTACAGCTGGAACCATCCAGAAAGGCTAACCTTTGAGGTTTTTTTCCTTTCAATCGCTCCACTAGCAATAAAAAACCCAGAAGATTCCCACTAGATTGGCAGAGAAACTGGAAAGCAAACCACGCAGCAGAAGTGCCAGACCCTGACCATGCACCCCCACAGGGATGATCCGCATCCTTAAGGTTGAGTCAGAGGAACCCTGGGCAGCCCATGTCACATTAAAATGTTGAAAACGTTTTAGGTCTGAGTTTAAGTCAGGTGAAGAGAGGGGCAGGAAGAGGTTGGAGAGGCAACATCTAGGAGGAGGCAATCTTACCGCTGATGCGCTGGCGGAGAGAACGTAATTACGAGGTCTAGTCTCCTGAAAGTCAGGCACAGCCTAGTGGGGGGAATAGAGTTTCATGTACAAGTCACGCAGAAGAGTCGATAGTTGGGCAACGGATGGAAGAAGGGACTAGTGTTTTTTTCCTGTCTGTGCTGGGAGCTTAGTTCAAGTTCTTATGGGATGGCAGGAGGGAGCTCTCCCAACAGTCTGGGCGGCAGCGCGTGGAAGCTCTCCTCAGGTGGAAGCCAGGCTTGTGCAAGAGGAGGTGGACTGGCTCATGCAGTCACACCTGGTACCCGAACAGCAGATATTTCTACTGTTAGAAACTCTGCCTGTACTTACAGCTATCCGCTCATACGGCGGCCAGTTGGAGTGGAGATGAGACAGCACAATCTCAAATGCATTTCCCATTCCCTTGCAGCCAGCAGGTTGCTCATGTCACGTTGACTCAGTCCAGTGGGCAGGACCTTCCCTCCCCTTGCTTCCCGCCTACAATCCTAAAGCATCCCTGTACAGGGCCTTGTCCTTAAAGTGGGCATGTTTACTAGCATCAGAGCATCCTTTCCATGATGCCTTTTAAAGAAACACATCTACTTGTTCTTACTCTCACCAAGCCCCTGGGCGTGTTTCCTCCTAAGAGACTCAGATCTGCTATTTTCAGTAAGGGGCATGGCTTAGCCAAAGCAGATCTAGTCCAAAGCCTTGCTGTTGCCAGAGGTAGCGTATGAGTTTTCATCCCAGAGGTCAGAAAACCTCCAAGCCACCTTCTCCATAGCTAAACCTCTGCCCTGGGGCAGGAAGACTTAAGCACTCTGGAGGTTTTCCTCATTGGGAATGCAAAGGATCCAGTCCACCCCCACACAGGTGTGGGCTCACTAACATGGTGTCTCTATTCAGCTAAGCTAAGACTAGGCCTCCTCCTAGGATGGCCTTTGGCTGTAGCATCACCCAAAGAGGTAAGCCAACGAGCTAGCTTACATCAGGACCACCACACTGGTGCGATGGATCAGGGCATCCTCCTGGCCAGCCTTCACTGCGCAGTGGGTTGGTGTGCAAGGCTGGCACACAATCCAGCTGTAACCCAGCTACGTTGTTAATCCTCTCAGGCCCCACGTTTCCTCTCCCAGGTTAATCTCTTTGCAGCTCACCCAGATTTACTTATACACGCTGACCCCATTTGCTGGGTCCCGAGCAGCCTGCTGGAATGAGTGACCAGTGTGTGGAAGAGCAGTCAGGCAGTCCCAACAAGAAGAAATTTTTTTAAACCATCCAGGAGTTTTGGGGATGGCTGGAGGAAGGAATAAGGAGGAGCAATTCCTACTACAAGTCAAACCTGAATATAGGGAGAAAAATGCACCAGTGAGATTTGAGGCCAGCACAGCAACTAGGCTTGACCCCTCCCTGTGGGGAGAAGAGATGTTTCAAAGAAATAGCTTCTTACGCTTTTTTTTTTTTCCCCAAAAAAGATCAAAAGCAACTGAAGAAACCTCTCCTCCCATTCCCCGGTCTCCAGGGAGTCCCAAAACTAGTCATAGCATATGGGATGAAGGAGGCAAGCTGCTCTTGCGCTCCTGTGCATGGAGAAGGTGTATTTGCAAGCAGTGGTCAAAAGGGACCCACCTCCCTCCCCCTCCCGCTCTTGGAACGGGGAAAACGGGCAGAGCCCTGGAGGACAGAACAGCACTGCAACCAGATCAACCTGCCTGTCATTGTCTCTGGGCTGCCTCCCTTCCCGGAGAGGGACTTGCCACCCAACGCAACCTCCTCCTGCCTGCAGCCAGAGGAGCCTGCGTGGGTCTTTACGGGAGCCCCTGCCTCTCTTGAGCACTGCTTGCAAGCAGCGTTGATAGAACCGAGTGCATGCTCCAGAGGGGCTGCAGGCAGCCAACAGATGCTCCCATCTTCCTGGAGCACCTTCTTCCCCAGGCAGCCACAGCCCTGACCATGCTCAGTACATGCTCCAGGGCCAGTCCCAATGGGACAAGGGAGATATGAATTTTCATTTAAAATGAGAAAGAGACAATGAGAGGTGTTAAAGAAAAAAAAAATCACAGCACTGTTAGCACAGTCAATACTCACATCTCCCTCACACTGAGCAAATTACAAAGAAACAAAACAAAAAGGTTAGTAAACAAAACAGCATCAACAGGAAGGACAAAGCACAAAGTCTGAGGGAAATGCACAAGCCCAGACACTCGAACAGCAGCTCACGGGTCTGGGCAGCAGCGCGCTTGGAGGGTCAGTCACGAGACAGAAGCTGTGGGAACGCAAGTTTGCACTACAGAGGGGAGGAGCAGCAAGAGAGCGGTGAGCTGGGAGAGGTGTGATACTTTAGACCAGCTTGGATAGAGAGGTGTGACACAGGACTCCAGGCATGTTACAGGGAACGTTGTCTAATGATGAATTAACACGCCTAGAGCAGAGGCAGCAGTTCTGCCCCCTGTGCTGGGAGCTTCCACCTCTGCCTTGTCCTCTAGTAGTCAGTGAGGCACCCAGAGCCCTGAGGCCAGGGACCCCACCTTTAAGCTAAGCTGGGGAAGAGATGGGTGCCCACAACAGCAGCTGAGGTTGCTCCTCTGTTGTGTGATCTCTGTTTCAAAGAAGCAGAGTGGCTGAAACGTGGCTTGGGGTGAACACCCTGGAAAGCCTGGACTGGCTCTGCATCCTGCCTGGGGCACCCCAGCCCTGCAGTTCCAGGGGGAAACCAAGTTTTCTTTTCCAGCTACAGGGAAGTCCTTCACCCAAGGGTCTGTGTGCAGGTGAGAGGCCTTGGGATCACTTCATGTAGGAAGCAAGGTAAAGAGAGGGTGGAAAGGGAGGAAGCACAGGAGGTATCTGAATTCCTGCTCTGATTGGAGCTTAAGATAAAGCAATGGCCACCACTTCCCACTGAGACTGGGGGCACTGTCCCCTTCAGAAGGGGAAAGGGGGATCCCTGAAGTTACCTTCAGTGGAGCTGCGTGACCTGACTGATGAGAGGAGGCTTTTTTAAAAGGGCAGCAATCACGTTTGTTCACCCAAAGCTTTGTTCAGGGCTTTCCCACATAGGCCTGAGCACTCTGTTAGACCTGCTGATGGAGGCTGCTGAGCTTAGCACAGCTTCCCCATATGGCATGTATGCAGTTAGAGCTGGAGAAAAGGGAAAACACCTGGGAACTGGCCTCCCAGGGAGCTGCAAGGCCAGAGGCCCAGCTGAGCAGATGGCTAGAAAACAGGCTCATGGCAGGGCTCCTAGGCTGGGATCCCAGTGCATCCCAGCGACTGACTGACAAGGATTCCTGCCTGTTGTGATTGCACACATTTGCTAGTTGAGCTCCTGGCCCCAGGCTAGAAGCAGAACTTGGCAAGTCCTTGTGCCAACAGCCAGAGTGCTACAGGACGGCAATCTGCTTCAACAAGGCCCTCCAGGGAACCCATCAGTGCCCAGCTACATCCTCTCTGCCTCCTGCTACACCATCTCTGCCCAGGGAGAGCCCAGCTCCAGGAGATGCCTCAGGCCCAGGGAGCACCCTGAGCTGACAGGTCTTGTCAGCCTCAGACAAGCACTTTGAAGCGCTTGTCCCCATTGCTCAGGCCTGCAGACAGTGACACTGGCAGAATCACCAGTCCCTTCTGCACTGCTCTGACCTGGGACCTTTGCTAGTTTACTTGCCATGAATTCCCCAAAGCCAGAGGGCAAGACTAGCCTGTAACTAGACAGCACCATGAATTAAGTGAGTAGAGAGGCTGAAGGAAGGACCTCTTGGTAGACAGCCTGACAGCGGCCAGCCCTTACAGGCTCCCCTGGCACTCCTGCCTGGGGAAGACTGAGTTGGCAGAATCTTAACTAGTCTGAAAGCCTGGGACTGCTGCAGAGCCCCAGCATGCTCTCCCCTTGTGCACCTCCCAGCTCAGCTCTCTCTTGGCTTGCTTTGAGATCCCCAGGGAAACTTAGCAAGTCCTCAGGAGATGCAGCCTTGTAGTTACTAGCACAAATCGTCCAGGAGCCACTAGCAGTCAGGAGACAGGACCCTGGGTCAAGCAGACGTTTCCAGACTCTGGAAGCTCGGAACTATTTGTTTCAACAACTCCCCCGTGGGAGGGCATCTGAGGAACAGGCGCATGGCTCCTGCTCCCAGTTCCCTTGCATACCAAATGAGCAATCCCCTCCACCCATGCCTGCCAGAGGCAGGACACAGTGGGGTAGCCTAATTTTTGTCCAGAGAGCATGTGGCATTGCTCATGTGAGCCAAGCCCTGGGACCAGAAGGACAGGGAGGGGAATGAGGGAGAAAGTTACCGCTGCTTTTGCCTCAGCAGCTTTGGCTTTCTTCAACCTGGCTTTGCAGGCATCCAGATCCAGGCGGCGGTTCTGCAGGATCCTCCGCTCTTTCTGGAAGAGACAGAAAATGGGATAAGAGCAGACTGCTTAGGAGCTGTTGGGGAGGGAAAGGGACAAGGTATCATAGAGGAATCAAATCTATTTCCTTATCAAAAAATGCTAGGGAGAAAGAAGCAGTTGCTATGTTCATCTCGTTAGCAAGAGTTTTGGGCCTGGCTGCCAGGGATACAGGCTAACCTTCTGGAAGCAGGGCAGCCTATGGGTGGGTGGTGCCCACTAAGCTGCAGGAGTCGGGAAAGGAGTTACCTTCTTCATGCACATCAACTGGCAATCCTTCCCTGCCGCAGAGGGAGCCCTGAGCAGATCTAGGACTGGTATTCCCCTATCCTTGCGTTCTTTGAGGGGAGAGATATGGAGTTCTCCTTTCTCATAGGGAAGGAAAGTGAGTTCTTCCAGGGCTGTCTCCCTCTCCCCCCACGCTCCTCATCTCCGCTGACATGACAAGCTTCCCCTTCCCTGCTACCATACTTACAGATATGGTTCGCCAATCCCCTTCCAGGAAGTTGCGCAGCGGGGTCAGGAAGTTGATGGAGGCAGAGTGGATGAAGTCCCGTTCTGCTGCACCTAAGCGCCTTTGAGTCTCTCCAACTTTTATCAAGGTCTTCCCTGCAATAACAGGAGCCTTCAACTCCAGGAGAAATCAATTAACATTGTGTTGGCTTCAGCCAACCCACCCAGAGCTACCAGGCTCCAGTGTTGGGGGACAAAGGCACAGTGTACCCTGCCTGGACAAGGTGACCATGCCCGTACCGCACCAGCTTCAGTTCTAACTACAATCTGCTTTTAGCTTGAGGCCTCTTCTTAGCTGCTCCCAGTGCAGCTTTGATCTTATCCATCTGCTGAGGCACTTATTCCACTGATGTCCTTTTACTGCTACACCTGCTTGCGCACAATGATCTTTGTTTGTCTCATAAAACAGAGGCACAGGAACAGAGCAGCAAATTAAAAAGCACCAGAGCAGAAAAAAAATGAGTTGATTAGGCAGTGCTGACTATAGATGCAGTTAGAGCTGTTCTGCCTGTAACAGGACTCACTATTGAACAACTATTGATTTGGAGAGCAGTAACAAAGCTCGTGGCAGAGGCAAGGACAGCTGGAAGCTAAGGCTGTGCGTCTGTGCAGGTCTGCTGCTTAAAGAAGTCCAAAATTCCCCCAGGAAGGGGCAACTGTTAGGATTTAAGTGCAGAAAGATGCACTGTCTGTTTTCCTGTTCTCTTTCTGCTGGAGAAAGATTTCCACCCTCCACTTGCAGGACACAGTTAAAGGATGGTTCTCCTGTTCAGAGTCTAGAAAGGCTCTGTGCAACTAGATACCACCCTAGACTGAAAATGTGCTCAAGCTGGACAAAGCTAAAGCCATTCACTGCAACTCCCTGTTCAGGCTAGTTTAGAAAGCCACAGAAATAGCACAGAATAGTTTGTGTCCTGTAACCAGTTCCACTGGCTACCCTGGATCCACGTGTCTAATTCTTCTCTAGCTCTGCCAGACTTGAGGACTGTATTAGGAATGGGGAGACCCCTGCCCCTTTTCCCCCACAGCATGGAGCACACTTTGCTGCGGAGTAAGACTTGACGTCCTACTCTAGATGGGCTGTTTGCTTCTGTGCTAGAGAACACCCTTCTCTGGCATCAGTTTTGACACGCTAATAGGCAGGTTGCCACAGGGGGAGCAGGCCACCCTGCCCCCTTCAAGAGGCATGCTGCGGAAATCTTAACCCGAAACAGTAGTGGGGATACTCTCTTAGGAAGGGGTGGATTCCCAGGGCTTTTTAATTAGCCAGGCTGACTTACCATAAGGTGTCCCTGGCCCAAAGTCATTAGCTGCTTCTGTCATGTACTGTGCCAGCAGCTCCCCGTTGGTGACCCGGGAAGGCACCTTCCGGTCAAGCTTCTCATAGAGGAATTCTTCTACTCTGGCACCTGGAGTGAGGATGCCACCAGCAGTTACAGGATGGAGGATGAAGGAGGGGCCCCTGGAACTGGCATTCATGGTAGCCCACCCCATACAGTCCTCAATCATGCATTGGGTAGCAAACAGCAGCACTAGGAGAAGGTGTGCCCTCCCCTCCAACCATCTCCCAGTCTGCAGGAGCACGCCCAGGCATCTCTCAGCTACATAGGGAAGGAAGGACAGGCCCTGCAAAGACACGTTTCTTCCAACCCCCACAAAGTCAGTGGAATGGGGCTCTCTGCCAGAGGACATGTCTTTTAACACTGTTTGAGCTGCAAGAGAGATTTGTCCTTCAAGCAGTAGAAGCTGGACTTACTAGGGTTTGGCTGTAGCAGAACCTCAGTCTGACGCAAGATCTTCTCTGTCCAGTTCTTTGTGAAGTCTGCTCTGGCCAGAAGGTTTTCAAAGTGGGCATCTAGTTCAGTCTTCTCAGCCTGGCCCAACTTTTCTTCAGTAAACTGCAGGAAGGAGGTAGTCATTAGAAGGGCTGTTCTGCTAAAGCAAAATTAGTGTGCTACAGGGCTATTAAGAGACACTGAGGCTTCTTCTGTCTCACGCATTTATCTTAGAGGAAGGCTAAAAAGCCTTCAAGGTGTCATCTTTGTTCCCAGGCATCTTTCAGGGGAAGACGGCAAATTTTTGCCTAAGAGTGGAACAAATATCAAGCTAAAAATAGAGTCCAGGTTTGAGAGGTGTTCCAGAATAATAACTTTTAATAAGGTCTGGTACAAAAATACTCTAGTTGTGAGGAATCTATTTAAATGTGCACATGGCTTGCAGTACTTCATGCAGGAGAGCAACAGACGCCCTTCAGGTGAGGCAAGGTGCCAACTCCTTTCACCTCCTCCTAACCAACTCTATGTCCTGCAAATCCAATGGGATCAGGAATGCGA